GACAGGCGACTCAAGTCTTCTGACAGCGACTTGCTCACTGCAGAGCGTGCACAGCTCCTTCTTGCTTGCCTCTGGGCTAGAGGGGAACATTGACTTTCTGATCAAATATTATTCTGATGCATGAGGCATCTTTGATGTTTGCAAGTCAGAAAAGTTTAATTACATGTGTCATTAGGATGGCATTCTCTAATAGCTCTGTGACTGAATTCATTAACAGAATTCTTAACAGATAAGACAAGACAAATTAATATTTTGTTGCTCATGAAAGCGTCTCATTAAGAGAGTAGTGGAAAAGTGATTAATATTTTCTTGCCAATCAAGATGTCTCATACAAATGACAAAGGAAGCCTGAACCTTTCTGTGTTTTCTAATCTCCTGCCTTGGGTTTGGAAGGCTGATCTGCTTCCCAGGTTGGAAGCCATGTTTGGGTACTAGGCATTAATTACAGCTCCACTGATTGTATTTTAGCACTTACTGTGGCTGGGTGAGGAGATGTTGAGATGTCCGAGGGGCTCCGAGAACCCCAAGAATCTTTGCTCCTCCTGGGCTGTTCTCCCCTGATCAGTTATTGCTTCAAGAATGCCCCATGCCTTCTGAGGACCTGGTTCGTGCTCTCTGTGGCCGATTTCCTCCCAGAGATGCCCTCCTTGCTGTCCTCTGAGTGAATCTGCTGCTGAATACCTTTTGGATGCTGGGTGCTCCCCATGCATGGTCGGCTTAATGTTAACGATGGTTATAATGGTAATAATGGATAATGATAATGGGTGATTCTCTAGCATACTCTGTGCCAAGAACATCTCATGAATCTTCTCACTTGGTCTTTACTGTAAATCCATTAGCCAAGTGCTCTCATTTACTCCTATTTCACAGATGAGGAAAATTGAGGCTTAGAAAGGTCAAAGCCCTTTCCAAGGTTACTCAACTGCTAAGTGGCAGAGCTGAGACTTGAACTTAGGCCCTTTTGAATCCAAAGCCCATGCCCTTCATAGCAGGCTGTAATCCTCTGTCCCTAAGGTACAGGGAAGGAGGCATGTGCACTATGTGTGTATGCTTGCATGCAGCAGGCTTGGATGTCCAAGGAGTATGCCGCCCTGCACCCCTGTCTGGGGCTTCTGAGAAGCATGGGCACTGCCTATTTTCAGGGCACCAACTCAGCCATGAGCAAGTATTTCCAGGGAGGTAACGAGCAGCCATTAATCTCTGGTTGCACCCACAATTATCCAAATTGCTAACCTGATTGGGAAAAAGAAGAAATGCAATTGAGTTGGTGCTGCAGGCATGTTTGAGTAATTTAATTAACTGACGGCAAGTACGTTAAGAAGAGTTTGCCTCTGCCTTTATTTCTGACATGTTTAAACAGAGCACCATGTAATGCTGTGGAGGTTAGTCAGTCACAAAGGGCCCCGGTCTACCATGGAACCAGTCACAGCGGCCAAGGGCATTTGCAGTGGCGTCAATCCTGAGAGATTCTGTATACACAGACCCACGCACCTGATCCATGTACACACACGTCCTTCACACACACACATACACACATGCATACCTTGACACATACACACACAAACCCATGAACCTGATCCTCACACACACATCCTTACACATACACTCACAAACATACACACCTGAGTACACCCATACCCATGCACACAGGCACACACACTCACACACACAAGCATATACTCACACACAGGCATTCACACACAGGGAAGTCTGCATACACACAGGCACACACACACAGACCCACACACCCTAATGCATAATGCACACATGTAAATACACATGCACACGTGTATACACAAACACTTGACATACACCCAGAGGCATGCACACATGTACACACATAGCACATACACACATTCACACAGACATACACAGGCATACAAATAGGCAAGAATAACATGGACACTCTACACACATATACATGCACACAGATGTACACACTGTACACATACAGGCATGCACACATGTACATACATGGGACACACACAGGCACACACATGCACACAGAGAGACACAGAAGCACACCCATACCCATGTTGACACACAGACACATGAACATATGTACATATCCACACTCAACATGCACATGTACACACACATTCAACATACTGTTGCAGCCGGGTGTCATGGTGCATGCCTTTAGTCCCAGCACTTGGGAGGCAGAGGCAGGCAGATCTCTGTGAGGTCAAGGCCAGCCTGGTCTGTATAGTGAGTGCCAGGTCAACATATTGCTGTGTGGCAATTTCCTCTGAAATAAAACTTTCCTTCTTGGAGAAAAACTCCTTAAGACACTGGATGTTCTAAAGGGACATGAACTTCCTTCCTGTAGGGAAGCTCCTTTAGCTGAGGAAGCAAACAGCTCAAAGGCTTCAGGAAGTTCCTGAAACTGACCAGACTCACTAGGCCCCTCCCTCAAACATACATGCACATACATACATAAACCCTAAGAACACCTGCGAGACTTTGCGACAAGCTGAGCTGCCTGGAAGAGGCTCACATCAACTAAGCTGTCTGGAAAAGACTCCACAACAGGTTATACACTGGGCTCCAGATTTCCAGCTTCTGTGAGCCATCAGCCATGATGGATGGCTTGGTGATGCAGCTGTCTGTGAGTCATTTCTGTTCCTGTCAGTAACCTGTGATGGCTGCTTTTAATGGCAACTTGCCACAAATTAGAATCACCTGAGTTGGGAGCCGCACTTGAACAACTGTCCTGATTGCTTTAATTGACATAGGAAGTCCCACCCCAAATGCAAGGAGTGCGGCAGGAGGAAGATGAGTCCTCCTTTGCTTGTTTGGCCTTCCCTCTTGCCTTTGAGTCATTTTATCCTGCTGCTGCTGCTGCTGCCGCCGCCGCCGCCACCACCACCACCTTTGCTGATGTCAGAGCCAGAGTTTTCAGACTTCTATCACTGACTGAGGCCCAGCAGCAACTGAGGAACCCTCCCAGTTTTTGGTGACAGATTGAGGCTGCTGAGGCACCCAGCTCTGTGGCCCAAGCAACTACCATGGTGTCAGGCTCTAAGTGTCAGGCAGTCACCGTGGGACTGCTCCAGCTGCTGAAGACCCACCCAGCCTCGAGGACCAAGGAGAGGAGCCTCTCAGGTGGGATTCGGCTGTTGTTTCAACTTCGAAATAAATTGATTAATCAATTTTCACTATGTATTCATTCTGTCGATTCTGTTCCTCTCGAGAACCTGACCACACTCCTGTAAGTAACTTAAATAGAACTCATTGGTTCATTAAGTCAGACTTTGGTGGTGTCCACTTCCTTTGGCCTGTTACTGGTTCCCTACGTGGGATGAGTAGATGTGTGTTCACCTCTCCGTGGGAATAGTGTCACACAACATACAAATACACATATGACATGCATGCACCAGCACACACACATCCATACACATTTCACACACACACACACACACACACACACAAAATACTGAGTTTTCTTGCTAAGATCCTTGGGCAAGGCCTGGCCATCTCAGGTCTAGAGGATGAAGAATTCTACCATGGAGTGTCTATCAGGTACCCACCAGGGAGGGCACTGCCACACTGACATTCAGAGATGGACAGGACAGGATACTGGTTGTCTACAACAAAAGAGGGAGATCGCAAGGAAACAGCCAGGGTGACAAGCCGGGGGAGGCCAGAGTGGTCCCCCATTTCCAGCTGCTTCCCTCATGATCCACAGGGCGCACTCAAAGGTGCCTAGAGTTTTTGAGTTCCCACTTCAGCACTTCCTGCATTTGGGGCTGGACCTCTCACACCTTTGGGCTGGGAAGCAGTCTTAGCATTGGCAGGACCTTTAAGGCATGGTTTAGCTGCCCTCTTGAGGCTGGCAGCAGCCGACCCTAAGCCCTGCTTAAGCTTGCTGGGAAGGGAGACGGTGTCTCTGTTGCGGCTCACTCATGGGCAGGCTTGATGGCAGGAAGGGTATCTCATCTAAGGAGGCCAGGTTGGTTTCCTTTGAACTCCTGGGTCACATGGCTCAGTATAGCTCCCTCTACAGGTCCCTAACACACCTCCTTACAGATGTCCAGGGTCTGACCACTTATCCCACAAGTCTTCTTTCTCTGGGCTCAAACAATCCCACTGTGGATCCACTGTGCCATCCCGAGTCAAAGAAACCAAGACCAACTCCTCTTCTCCCATGAACATTGGGCAGTCACATCAAGTCTCTGCCAAACCTGAACCAACCTATATACTTGAATTAGTGCATGTCTCCTTGAAGTTCAGTGGAAGGCAGGGGCTGCTTTCTTAAGAGATGAACTTACCAGGGACCAGCAGGTCAAGGAATTACTCGGGGTCCCCCTGACGTAGAACCAGCCATCTGGTTCCTCAGAGCCCAGAGGTGTCCTCTTTTCACTGCATCAAGCTGTGCAAACTCAGTCCCTTCCACTGAGGAGTGCCATACCCAACTCTTCGAATCTGCATCTTCTCACCCAGCAGGAAGGTCTCCAAGGCAGGTCTCTTCTAAGCCTTACTTGGCTCCCTTCCAGCACCTCACTGTCACTCACCCTCCTTCCAGCCAGCCCCATGGCTCAACTCCCTTTGTCAGGGATGTCCCCTCTGCTCACACTCTACCAAACTGTAAGCCTGAGCCTTCACCTTGTGGCCCCTTGCCCACCTCTCTCTCTGGCTGTGGGGCTTTCTGGCTGTGCCTTCTGGCAGCTTGCGGCTCATCACTCTGAGAATTAGAGTGAGCCGCACAGCCTGCTCCTCTCCACATTTCAGCCTCAGGGCCTCCTTAGGCCTTTTCTAAGGGCTCCTGCCCCGCCCACATGCCTCTCAGTCAGTCTCCTCTCTCCTTCACCAGACATGACTAGCAGGTTGATGGCTGACATTCAGCCTGTCTCTGCACATACAGGGACATGGAGCTTCTGATATTGCCAGACTGAGCCCAGGCCTGTTAATGAAGCCCTCTGCCTTCATATCCTTTGATGATGCCCTGCACCTTGACTCTCATGGGACGCACACTTGAGCTTAGAGTAAATGCTACTTACATTGATGTCTTCCAGGCCCAGAAAGTTAAGGGTGAGCCCGTTGCGCTTCCAGATGATCGGTGGCCTCAGGTCTCCACGAATAGCACAGGTCAGCACCGTGCTCAGCCCTACAGTGACTGTGGTCACACTAACCTTGTCCTCAGGGGCAAGGCTCAGCTGAATCACCTCTGCAGAGACAGAGAGAGAAGAGAGGGTGGTTAGGAGCAGGCCTGGGGTCAGATCATGGCTCTAGGTGGCCAGTCATGATTTACTCAAGTGGGTTCCCAGTAATGGTTTATAATGTGCCAATACACAACCAAATACACAGATGGACACTTTTGCTGGACTGTGAGCTACAATTATGTCTAATGCCTGAACCTGGACAGGTATGTCTAATGCCTAAACCTGGACAGGAACCACAGCTAAGGTGCAGGGGTACCATCTGAATCGTGGATTTGTGAGTGGGGCTGAGAACAATGGCTGCCTGGCCCACAAGGCCTGGCCAGTGGAGAGACCGCAGAGCCAGCTGTGGGGCATGCTGCTCCTAGTCCCTGGCTTAACGAAGCTGGAGCCTGGGAAATGCGGTCAAGGTCTGCTGATGAGCCGACAGGCATCTCAACCATGGGGGGTAGCTTAAAGGTTGCACTGTCTGAAGTCTGGGGAATGAACTGGCTGACCTTTGAAGGTCTGTTTCTTCTCAAGATTTGCTGAGCTTAGATTCGCATTTCTGTTCTGTGACTGTGCACTGTGGCCTTTCGTTTTGTTTTTGTTTTTCTGGAGTGTACTTCAGGCTGGCCAAATTATGAATCTTTGCCATTTGACTTGATAACTGGCATGAAGATCGGTTATTCCTTAGGCAATCTGGGAAGGGTCTAAAACATTCCCTTGCCATCCCAAGCTTTCTGAAGATTTATACAAAATTAAGCAAACTCAGGTGCTCAGTGAAAACATGGGATCAGGCCAGGGTTGGGGAGCAGAGCCGACCACACAGGGACTGAGCAGGGCAGGCTGCTTTGGGGGATGCTTGTATATAGTCTAGGATGCCAGCAAAAACGTAAGGGGTTCTATCCAGTGTTTGGGACGTGGGTGGCCCTGACAGGTGTGTCGTCCAAAAACTCTGGGACAAAGCATGGAGTTAGGAGCTGCATTCTGTAATGGGAGCTGGGAGCTGGGAACAGGAACTGGACGCTGGGAGCCAGTACACCCCTTCGGCAGCACATCTGAACTCAAGCTCTCTTGCTAGTGTGTGTGGGAGGGGAGCAGGGAAGAAAAGACTCTGGTGCGGCGCACTGGAGAGTTCAAAGCAGGTACTTAAGGTAAGACCTGCAGCAGCCACGTCTCCCCCTTCCTGGCCATTTAGTGGCCCTGTCCCAGACCCATGAAGTGAGGATGAGCAAGCTGCACACGTGGTGCTTCATCAGTGATGGATGGATGGATGGATGGATGGATGGAAACGGAAACGATGAAAATAAAGGAGCCCAAGTACCAAGAGGCCGGTGGGGAGGGGGCAGCCATACAGAGGAAAAATGTGACTCACTGCGAAGGAGCCCGAGAAAAAAGATAAGCACCCAGTGATGGATGCAGACGCAAGGGGCATAATATTTCACAAACATTACAGCATTTCAAGTTCCCTCTTAAATCACAGCCTGACTGCTGCCCTCCCACCTCCACGTCAGTAAGGCTACTGCTCAGGGTAGGGGAGAGAAGGTGCTCTTTGTAGTAATATCAAGAAGCAGGCTTGAAGGCTCAGAGAACAGGGAGGAAGTAGAGGGGAGGGGAGGGAAGGAGAGAGAGACAGAGGCAGAGAGACACATAGAGAGAATTGGTTGTAATAGTTTTTCTCCCACTGAACTCCAGGGGCCCTCGGACCTCAGAATCCAAGACTTTCAATTAGAGAGAAGGGCTTTTCTGTATCAGAGGACCACAATGTTCCAGAAGCAATAAGGTGAATGGAAGGCTCTTTTTGTCCCAAGGGACTATTGGAATTAAAAAGGGAGCCTTGTGGGTTTGTGGCAGAGGGGAGCATGAGGCTGGGGGCTTTGAAGGACACTGCATCTTTCCCTGTAGCCTGGTCCTTCATCCTGAGAGCCAGAGCCCCCTCAGTTCCTTAGCAGTCCACTAGCTGTAATTGAGGACCACACTGGATGCCAGACCAGGGCCTACAGGGAACAGCCAGGAGCTTTCAGGGGGTGACAGTGTCAATGAGGGGCTGTGGGAGGCCCTGCTTGGGTGAGGGGCAGTGCCCAGCTCCAGGCTGCTAGCTAAGATCAACAGTGCATGCAGGACAGACGTAGGTAGTCTGAAGGTCCTCCCAGTGGGAACCGGGGACGGCGGAGTAAGGCCACGTTGCTACCCTGGAAGCCAGCCTGGAGGGTGGTTAGGATGGCGATGCCCAGAGAAGCGCTTTTCTTACAAAGAGCACCCCTTTGTGTGAACTGTTAAAGTCCTCAGCCTGGACCAGGCTTCTCAATGGAGGCATGTTCCGTTGTATCCTTCTTAGTGCTGCGGAGCTTGTAAACAAATAGGGCTAGTTACGAAGGGGATGTACGCTTTCTCTGCACCCGACCTTCATCAAGACTTGAAAAACAGACCAAGTGGGCATCAGAGAGAGGCCCTTGCAGGAGGCAAGGCTTCCCCTGGGTCTTCTGTGATTCCCCAGGCAGCTGTATCACATCCCAGGTAATCAACACACAGAGGGCCGCCCTTCTGCTTGGGCCGCTACACACTCTCATGAGTGGATATCCCAAAGGTTTCTGTGTGACCCCAGGCCTGAGAACAATTGCTTAGGAAGATGGGAAGGGCCTGGATGGCTGGAAGGCGGGACAGTGCAGGTGGGGGATGGGAGACAGGCAGTCTGTTGGGTTTGGGCTTCTGAGGCTGTAAACACAGACTTTCAGGTGCCAACATGAAACATAGGATTCCCTTCTCCTTGGGGCCCAAGAGCACACATTTCAAATAGTTTTAGAAAAGGCCTGTAGAGCCTGGATCATGGGGCCAAAAACAACTAAGGGAACACATTCCAGTGGGTTGGCAGCCTCTGTGCTCTCGTGGCCTGGGTGGCCAGGGCCACTGGTTCTGTATTCTCTTTGGTTGCGTCCCCATCGTTTGTATGTGTGGAGACGTATACTTCGTGCAGGAAAAATTCATGCAAAATTAGAATGCCTGAGAATGGATGGAACCATCGTAATTCTGTGCCTGTCAGCTACACAAATATTAACCAAACAGCAAATATTTGGATCATTTAAAGTTTAATTAAATGAATGTTTTATTGGATTTAATGCGTGTCAATATTCCCCAGCTCCTTTTAAAATTCTGAAGAGATTTACGGCTACTGAACCCTTTCCTCCCACCCTCCCCCCTTCCTTCATTTACTGTTCTGCAAGCCCTTCCTGCAGGCCTTGCTTCCAGGCTAAGTGGGAAGACCATGGCTAATTAGCTTTCTGGGGTGACTTCTGGGAAGACCTGTGGCTCAAGTGAACAGGACAGGATCCCTCACCTCTGAGCCTGGCTCAGCTGCTGAGTGGCCTTGGGCCGGTCCCTTCCTGACCCTTGACTTCAGCTTAGATATCAATAAAGGGAAAGCTTTGGCTAGGAGGCCAAGAGACCCATGCATGCTTTCTCTAGGGTCTGGGCGGCGGGGGGTGGGGTGG